TTTCGAGTTGCAACTGCCACAGACCGCTCAAGTACGTACTCATTTAGGGAAGTAGGACCCCCATTAATTATATACTTCTACTCAAGACCATATTTCATTCTAATCGTGCCCCTTTCAATAAATGAATTTGTTTCACCTATAATATTGGTCTGGTCTACTCAAACTAGTTGGCTAACTTAAAAATTGCACAATGACTAATTATTCAAATGCATATATTTCAAAATGTTAAGTTAGAAATGTTAGTGTTATTCACGATTAGTATGTACTCAACCGTCGTTTCACATCGTGAAGACATTGTATTTTAAACAAGATTATATAATAAAGCGTGCATCGAATTTTTATAGTCGTCCAATTCGTTTCAACTTATTAAGGGTTAGTTTGCCAAGACTTTTGAAAGTCAAAAGTTGTTTTTGATATACGACTTATTTCTTATGAAATTCTTTCACAATAAATAGAAGTAGAAATATTGCTAAATGATCCCTAAATACACTATAAAATTTCTTGTCAAATTTGATGTAAAATCTAAGATGAGGAAACCAAATGTATAGTTAAATTGTAAGGTGGATGGTCCCTTCTTAAGTATTATTCTTGTACTTGTTATTTGTTAAACAAATTAGCGGCAAAGTAAATTCAGAAAATATAAACTAGACAGATTAATATTTTATTGATCACCACTTGAGAAAAGTAATTTTTTATTGCCTTTTTATTTATGGAAAATGTCATTTTTCCACCCAAATTTCTACTTTTGGGGTGTTTGCTTAATAATTTTTTTCTTGAAAAAAAATTTCCTACCTTAGGTCATGTGACCATATTTTCCTCAAAAATAAGGAAAATATTTTCTTTAGAGAGTAGTTTTTAAATACTTCTACTCAAGACCATATTTCATTCTAATCGTGCCCCTTTCAATAAATGAATTTGTTTCACCTATAATATTGGTCTGGTCTACTCAAAACTAGTTGGCTAACTTAAAAATTGCACAATGACTAATTATTCAAATGCATATATTTTAAAATGTTAAGTTAGAAATGTTAGTGTTATTCATGATTATATGTACTCAACCTTCGTTTCACATCGTGAAGACATTGTATTTTAAACAAGATTATATAATAAAGCGTGCATCGAATTTTTATAGTCGTCCAATTCGTTTCAACTTATTAAGGGTTAGTTTGCCAAGACTTTTGAAAGTTAAAAGTTGTTTTTGATATACGACTTATTTCTTATGAAATTCTTTCACAATAAATAGAAGTAGAAGTATTGCTAAATGATCCCTAAATACACTATAAAATTTCTTGTCAAATTTGATGTAAAATCTAAGATGAGGAAACGAAATATATAGTTAAATTGCAAGGTGGATGGTCCCTTCTTAAGTATTATTCTTGTGCTTGTTATTTGTTAAACAAATTAGCGGCAAAGTAAATTCAGAAAATATAAACTGGACAGATTAATATTTTATTGATCACCACTTGAGAAAAGTAATTTTTTATTGCCTTTTTATTTATGGAAAATGTCATTTTTCCACCCAAATTTCTACTTTTGGGGTGTTTGCTTAATAATTTTTTTCATGAAAAAAAATTTCCTACCTTAGGTCATGTGACCATATTTTCCTCAAAAATAAGGAAAATATTTTCTTTAGAGAGTAGTTTTTATTTTCCAAAGAATTTACTCTCTTTCTCTCTCTTTCATCTACCCATCAATAAAAAAAATAGACAAGTGTAATATTTTTAAGATTGAAAATTAAATCAATTAAACACAGTTAACATATCTTGAATGAACATTATTTATTATCTTAAATGTAACTTGCTGCATGGTAGAGTTTATACATGTAAATAGAGACTTGGTCCCCAACTTTTGAAATAGAACATTTTGGCCCTCAATATTCCATTAATATTGCAAAATTATTATTAGTTGATAGAAACGGTGCTTAACCCGAAGTGGCTCTCATTAAACAAATTAACATTTTAGCAAGTTTGTAAGGATTGTAATTTTGAATGTGATGGCTATAAGAGTCTTACGTATTCAAACATCAAATATTAACGAATTAACAAGAACAACTAACTAAAATCAAACAATAAAATCAAGGTTGCAACTAAATACTATATGACTATCCACAATTGAAAATTTAAGCGATCAGGGCGACATGAAAATTTCATCTAGTATTGAACCAAAACCCAAGTCTAAGTATACTTCCATTTTATTTTTAAAATTAAATTTTTAACAACAATTAAAACTACTTATGAACACCAATGATCATGAATAGTTGCACAAATTACAAACTCATAAATTTCATGAACAATTACAAAATTATGAGCCCAAAAAATCAGCTTACTTCTACAAGGTCAATTAAATATTCAATTCAAAAGAAGGAAAAAGCAGAATACATATAGATTTGAAAACAAGATGCAAACGAGCTATATTAGAAGTCATCAAAGAAAAGGCAGAATGACCGAAAGAGTTCAAAAACATCATGAACGGAGGACTACTGCCATCGATTTTCAGTAGAGACCGAGAATAAAATATTACACATTTCATCCCCAAGGGAAAAAAATAATAATTGGTACAAAAAGGGAGGAATATTGTTAAATTCATAATTTTAAAATCTTACAAGAGGATCAAATCGCTTTAGGATCATAAAATCGTAAGATCCAGATCGAGAGTTTAACCACCATGCTTTTTAATAGGACGATTTTCATCTAGTTCTCGACTACTTGTGTGACAACCATAGGTTGGGGACTAATAATGCAATTATAGAGTGGGTTGTATAAATGAAGGAGAGAGGCGGTGGGTAGATTGGAGTCATTAAACAGAAGAGAAATCAGTGAAGATGATAGTGACAAAGAAAGATAATTGTAGAAAACGAGGCCGTTTTAATGCTCCATTCTTCAATTCTGCATTTAAGTTCAGTTAATGAAGGCAGGTAGACTTGCTCAATTAACCCCCCCAGCCCCACCCCACGACTCTTTTTGTGTATATACGTTTTTGTGCATGCATACATGCGTCATTTCTGGGTTCCAGTATCTCCTTTCTAATTAGGTATTCGATAAGATTGAATAAGACAAAGTATAAGATTTTAATTTTTTTTTTTTCATTTTTAATATCCGTTGATAAAATTATCTCCATCCCTAAATTTTAATTTGGATCTTGAAATCATTAATAATAAATAGAAAACGGGAGGAAAAAGAAGGAAAATTTACAGTGTATATTTGTGCATGCATATAGTGAAAAACAAGTTTTCTAAAACTTCATTACTTTTTTAATGTTCATTGTTACCTTATAAATCATAATATTTTTATTTTAGCTTGCAGCCAAGGTTTATTTATCCAACAAAATCTAATTTCTGGTAAACAAGTTTTTCATTACCAAAAATAGAATAATTGTTTAAAATAACAAAACAGTTTATATTTGTCGAGAAGTACAAAATCGTATCAATACAATCCTTGTTGCGTTTCTTGATTAATTGGATCGTTTCTTTGTATTCTAAGCTTTTGTATATGTGATTTCATGTATTACTTGATCATTCTGTCTAAGAAGAGGATTTCTCTAAGTCTGTGAACTTTTCCTATAACAATATGACCAGTCTTTTTTTAGTATATTTGAAGTCGTCTATCTATCGTTGTTCATCAACATCCATGTATTGGCACAAAGGTTTAGAACAAGAAAAGTGCAAAGATTTTATTTTATATTGTATCATCAACTTATTGTGAGGGTGTCTGCAAATCCCAAACATGTAAATATTCAAACTCATGAGTACTAAAATTTAGTACAAGATTTGGCATATTTGCAAACAAGAAAGCCCCCTATCCCCACCCTATGCCAGGGGGTGGGGGAATGGGTGATAGAGACACACATTTATAGCTCATGAAAATCTGGTTGTATTTAATATAAAGTTTTTTTTTATAGTTGAGTAGATGAGTTTCTATATATTCATAGATCATGGACGAGGTGGTTTAATTTAATAGCCGTGAGAGTGTTGAAAGCTTTTAAAGTTATTGGTTTTTTTGGTGACCCAATTGTGAAAGTTGGAGTTATGAACGTCCATTAAAGACACCTTCAACTGTTTACAGACACTGCAATTTAATGACAATTCCAAACTTCCCACCCTTTTAAAGGATCCCCACCGCCCTACGAAGTTCAAGAAATCTTATTATGGGTTTAGTAATTTGGGATAATTCTCAACTCGGTTGGATCATGGGTGCACTATATTTTTGAATTCTTGCATTAAGAATGTCTTTCTAGGAGTCAGAGTCGAGTATTTCTGTATTAGTGACATGTTTGATACGACATGGTTAAAAAAATAAATGATGTTGATTATCCGTTGGAAAGAATAAAATTGTATCACTTCCACTATTAAAAAAAAAGGATTTTTAAAAACATATAATATCACACTATTGGGCGGAAAACAACTTGATATTCAAAAGGAAACTCAAGAAAAAAAAAGGTTAACTCTCTAAATTCATTAATATTTAACTCTCAATCTCAAGAACCCTTCAAAATATGAAAAATATGTATTTTTCATATTTCTAAGATTAAACAAAAGGATTTGCAAGAATGGGATTAGATACCTCAATAGTCTCAGCCGTAAACGATGGATACTAGGCGTTGTGCATATCAACTCGTGCAGAATTGAAATCGCCGGCCACAACCCATGGTCGATCAATGTTATCATTTAGAGAGACCGTGGAAGTTTCAATCGAATATCTAATCACTTGGAAAAACCTAAGAAGGCTTCTAGGGCAAAATTTGTTGGTTGAACATTTTTGTTCACTATTGTTAAGTCTAGCATACCAACTAAAAGTATGGATTTAGAGATAGTATGGAACAAGAAACCAACCATTCTTACATTAAGCCATCAATTTGGATGCAAATGTAATGGATAAATTAATATTTGCAATTAAGATCAGGTGTGTCAAGTGGTGCATGGATGTGCACACTGACCAAAGAGCGGTTAGCTAGAATTTAAGCAGCTTGGAGCTACATAGTAATTGCAAGCCCAACTTCTTCACTTAAAGAGCACGTCACATACGTACACAAAGATGGCACTTTGATGATCAGTTTCACAATAAAAGTTTCCAAATTTGCCTATATATATCCAAACCTTTTCACTATTCTAATAAATTCAGTCTCTCGCTCTAGAGTGAGACCTGTAATGTATAGAGAGAGATGAGCTTGTCGTCTTTGAATTGATCTCCATACGCTATACCATGATGAACGGAAAAATGGTTCAAGAGTCAGAAAACTCATTGAAGAAGAGGAAGTGGGATGATCACGAAGATAAAATCTCCGAGAAGCCAGAGAAAGTCAAAATCGTGAAACCGATACTCGATACTTTCGCACAACATGAGACACCATTACCTTTAGAGTGGCAACGCTGCCTCGATATAAAGGTATCATATGCTAGGCATCAACTGTCTAGTGTTCATCAAGTCAACATCTTAAATTATGTTAATCAAAGTCTAACCATGGTTCTACAATATGTAGATTTATTTATTTATTTATTTTTTGGTTCTAGTTTTTTTCAAAATTCGAGAACTTCTTTCTTTATCTCGTATACATGGAAAGAAAGTTTCAAATGACTGCAACCCTATAGCTCAATTAATGAGTATGTGCTCTTTTGAATGCAGTCAGGTGAACTATACTTCTACAACACAAGGACCCAAAAGAGGACATTAAGTGATCCAAGAAGTACAATAAATCCAGAGCCTTTGAATCCTTCTCCTATGAGCTTAGATCTTGAACTCAATTTGCCCTGCGGATCACTGGAAAAGAAGAACGATATCCAAGAACAGCACAATAGCTTTATGATGAAGCAGAATTCATCAGGTGATAATACCGAGCCTGGGTCAGGCCTTACCCGTTCGCCTTCTTGGTTAACATGTGAAGGGGAACAACAAGAAATGGTAACTGCAGTATGCGAGAAATGTTACATGTTGGTGATGATGTACAAGTCTTCTCCTGCATGTCCCAACTGCAAATTCATGCACCCACCAGACACAAGCCCTAAGTTGTTTAATCCGAGGTTAAGCCTTCTGTGCTAAGAATTTGTGTGTCTTGTTCTCAGGGACATGGTATTTTTAGTACCAATGATATAGTCTTTTTCCTGCACCTCTTGGAAAAAACGAAAGAAAAGGGAAATTCACTAAGGTGAAATCGGAGAAATATGAAAAATGATGTACTAAGCACGAGCTTATCTTATGCTATATATATGACTCATCACTTGATATTAAACTTTAAGTTAAATATTGAGATTCAACGTAAATTTCTCCACGTCTTTTGTGTGTGTGTGTGTGTGTGTGCACGCGCACATTGATTTCTGGAATGCAAGAAATGTGATTGGAGAGTGCAATGGGCAAGATTTTAATTTTGGAGAGTCTTTAAACATTGCCAACCTTAGATGTCTATATTTATCCAAATCAATAATTAGCCTTAGTGCAAAGATTTCAATCAGTAACAAATATAAAATCTTAACTTTGCAGTAACCTAATATAGACCCTTGTCATCCCAATGTATCTGAGAACATAAGGGCTCATAATTAAGCTTATTTTATATATATAAAAAAAAAAATCATGCGAAAATAGTGATTGAGACTTTTGGATGGAAAAATGTAAGAAATTGATTTGAATAATTACACAATGAGGTTTTTCGTATGTGTATAAAAGGCAGAAATTTTAAAAAGAAGAGAGCAAAGGAATGGAGTTCACATGTCGAATTGACAGGCAGCGTACTCGATACTTTCATGGAGTCGTCAACTGGTTAAATCTACTGCTTCAATCACTCTCTTTTCCTTCTTTGGGTCCTTAAGTGAAATAATGATTTACCGTCTAGTTTTAGACGAGTGTGAAACACGGATTTCATTTAATAGCGGTTCCATCTTAACCAATGAATGAGTAAATCGCCGACTAGGAGAATCAGATGACTCAACTTCAAGTTCCAAAATAGCAAGAGATTATGATTTTCTTTAGAAGGGGACTGCTTTATAACCAGTGAACTACTCTTTGCCCAATGCTTAAAAACCCCTCTCTCAGTTAACTAAAATTTAACCACTCTTGCCCTCTGGGGCATAGTCTAGTGGTGCAAAGGACAGGAGTGAGAATATCTCACGTCTTATTGACAGCTGCAGTGTGGGGATATGAAATTGGACTCCTTGTAGGCGTAGTGTACAGACAGCTCTTGTTCCCTGGCCTGTTAGGGCACATCCCGCAATTTACCTTCTTCACAAAGTTTTAGGCGCAGGACGATGGGGACCCTCAAGATTAGGGTTCAACTTTTTTTTTAAAAAAAATAATTTAACCACTCTTACCTTAAGAAGTCAGTATTAATGGAAATATTATTAAAACAGCGCCAATGGATGTAATTTCCACTTTTATTTATAAATATAAAAGTCTATTAAGAAGGTTCGAGACCTTTCAGTTCCCGCGCTTCCTTAAAAAAATCAGAGAGACTGAGAGAGGAGTAGATGAAAAAGAGCTGAGAGTTCCAGAATCTGAAATCAATTCGCAAGAGAGTAAAATGGAGAAGATCGGTGACGAAAGAGGGGGCCAGACTCAGGCAATGAAGTCTCAAGTCGCCATTAGATGTGCTAAAGCTGCGATTCTTCTATCTTCCCTAAAAAATTCCCCTAATAATTCAACTTCAAACATTACCCTAAAGGTCCCTCTCCTTCGCTTTCTAACATATGCTTTCTATGAATACATTTGTGTGTGTTCCTACGAATGTATGTATAGATCTATACAGACAGATACCTAATTAGTGGATCGCAATTTTTGTTGATTCTCTTCAAAATAATTGTTTAATTTGTTCGAGTTTGATCTGAAGTCCGGAATGTAGATATCCACACACGAACACACCCACTAATAACTGATAAAACAGAGTTGATTTGGGAATATAATAAATTCATACTGTTGTTTTGTGGTGTTCAGAATGAAGAGGAAATTGAGGATCTAAAAATAGCGTTGGTGAAGGAGAAACTGAAGAACAAGAAGCTGAGGATTTGTGTTGAAATGGAGTTGCTTGTATTCTTCCTCTGGACTCTCCTTTTGCTGGTCGTCTTTTGAAATCATCGTTGCTTTCAATGGTGGAAATTCCTATGGTTCCTGTATGTATAGATATGATAGTTTCAACTGATGCTTTTTCAGTTAAACTTCTAATGGAGTTGGCTATAAATAGTTTACACTGCTTGACACGTGAAATTCTTTTTGGGACTTTCAAGGCTGTAAAATGTGCGAGTTTGATTTAGCAGTTTCGTTAATTTTGTGTCCCGTATTTGTTTGGTTATCTTCATTTCATTGAATTTAAATTTGAACTTCGACTGGGGTATATTGTTACAAGGAAAAACTTAAAAATTCACAAGGCAGAATCTCGTGGAACTATGTCCTCACCTTATGAAATCAAATCTTAGCCTTCCAATTACATGGCGAAATGATATAAAACTTTACCACCGGAATGTTGGCCCCCCCGGTCTGGGAACAAATTTTCACCCCCAAAAAATTAAATTTTTTTAATCCTTATTTCACTATTTTAGCCATCATTTTTTACTTCCTCATTCAGAGGTAAATCCACTTCTCTCTAACAATCAAAAAATCAATTCTTATAATCACTACCGAACAAATCTTTAATAATACAACAACAGCTATAACAGTAGCATAACAATGAGATAATATATACATGGCATGTGCCCCCCTTTTGAATTTTATTACATTTCATTTTTCTCTCCTATTTTTAACCACACAAACTTCTATAAAATAATATTACATGTAAATCGAAAAAAAATTCTTCTTTTTCAATTACTCATTTTTCAAAAAAATATTATTTCACCCATTTTCATTTTCAAAAAATGAGAACCAAACGAGGACGTAATGAGTACTTGCATAATTAGACTGGTAATGCACCAGCCATGAAAAATAAATTATAATGCACTTCAATTTTGGATGCCTAATTCTTCATACAAATTCGATCAGAAGACCACTAAATATGACGAACAAGGAAAAAGTAGAGATAATGATGTAAAGATCGAGTAGTCTCAGAGATATTTTGAGAGTTTATAAGCTATTATTTATTACCACAAATGATGCAATCAGAGCCAAAATTGGCAACACTAAACTCCTGTACGGAAGAAATGAGTTGTTTAAAACCCTCCAGCAAAGCTGGGTTCACTGTACAAAAGCTTATTCATAGCTGAACAATTCTCTTACTACGAGCTACTTCATCCAGACATTTTGAAATGCTTGCCATGGCCAAATTATTTTCCTGGCCAGGAGAGATTCCGAAAAATACAACCATTTTACACAATGTGAAAGCTGAATTTTGGCAGAAAGAAGCAATTGTATGTAATGGTAACCCAATAGTATAGAATGCAGAAGCTCCAGGATACTCTGTATGACCAGTTCATGTCTTATTTTAGTGGGCAATCAATTGAGGATTGTACTTTGTTGAAAACCTGGAAAACAACGATATAGTAGTTTAGTGCTGTCTTCATTTTCAGATTTAAACCCCTAACATAGAATGTATTGAAAACAAGGAAAAGCAGCAGTGTAATAAAGAAATTCCAATAAATTCCAAGGGAGCAAACTCTAATACCAACACTAATGCTCAATTTGAGACTGCTAAGTCAGTCAGAAGTTTGCCAAGGATAAAAATGTAAATTCCTCTTAAGGCCTCATATTAAAGAGGCATATGCCTTCACATATTAACATAAAAGACATCATTTTAAACAACAGGGTTTAACACTCCTGAATGTGATGGAGAGTTACTGAGTTTCTATGGAGCTGTTGATTAGCTTAAAGAGTTTTGCCACTTCAAGCTCAGATTGGCCTGGGAATAGCATTCCATTAATTTAATGTTCATCATTTCTTATAGTAATACATTCAGTTTTTCGAAAGGAATATTAGGATATTGAAATAGCCATTTCGGTGAACCAACTAGACCATTCAGACTTACACTGTATGGTAGAGCATGTTATGGGTCTATACAATTAGCATATATAGTATTTCAAATTTGAAGTGATTGTTAACTTTGAGGGATAGCTCAGACTTTGAATTTGCTCCTCAATGGTTATCAGTTTGAGTTCCCTCAGGAGTCACTGAGGTGAGTACCCAGATGTCAACTTCAAGGACCTATGATATTAGTCGAGGTGCGCGTAAACTGGCCCGGACACTCACGGTATTCAAAAAATAAATAAATAATGAAGTGATTGTTTGTGAGTTCCAATTCTGAGGCCCCAATGCCATGCTTCTATCTGCAGTTTCTTAGTCCCAGTAATCATAAACTTGAGGAGTTGGCTTATAAAATAGTCAAGTGGTACATGAAATTCGAGAACCTTAGAGGCAAACTTTCTGGTGACCTTGTACCTCTGGGGAACAGGATGAATGGATATGGTATTAAATTTCAAGAAAGTAATCATTTCAAATTTCTTGGCAAGGATCGTACATCATGCCTGGCAGTTAACAGGACGTTTGCAAGAGAAACCCTTTGCTCACTTGATATCGTGAGGTTTGTCCCAGGATGGCAAAAAATATCTACTGTTTTTTATTCAGGATTAAGGAATCTAAAGTACAAGAAAGCTGCATATGAATTAGAGTACCTCTAATCAAATGCATAGGGATCTTCGGCATATGGATTCAAAGATCCTTCTGAGAACAGATCACCTATGTGGGAAGGATTTGGATGCACTCCACCTTTGACTCCCTGGATAAAATTTAAATACTGTAAAATGTTAGAACAATCTACTAAAATTTCAAAAATGTAGTTGATCAAACCATAACTTCATTGTTGTCCCTCTCCCTCTCTCTCATTGTATCTGTCTGTGAATGGGGATGCACGGGTGAATGTTTTCGTGATGCACAACAGTACCAAAATACCAGATATAACCACCACATAAGACCTAATTTCATTCAATCAACATAATATAAGAGCCGAGTCTTTCAGCTGAAATGTGGGTGGTCTTACAAAGATAAAATGCACCACAGGAGACTACATTTCATGCAGACAAACTATAACAGTAAAGCCTAGCCTCAGCAGAACTACATTACTTTGTTTACTTATTCATTAAATATACATTTTTCATGTTTACTTACAACCTAGTTGATACATTATTAAGCTCCAAATGCAGATAAACCACATTTACATAAGAGGTTTTTTCCCCAATGCCCATTAGTCATAATTAACCTCTTATGAGCACTCTGTATGTAAACAAAATTCTACCACGAGACATACAAAAACACTAAATCGAAAACCCAGATGGAAAGCATAGAGAAAAGAAGCCTTGGAATAATTTTCCAGATTCTCCTTGCCTTGGTAGAATCTTTGGGAATCTTAGCTTTTGGCGTCTCTCTCTTCCTGTGCTTCCTTGGGTCCTATAGGTACATATGATCTATAACATTAGGATCGTAAGCATAATCTACCTGCCAACTATGGGAAATCTCTTTTATATGTGGCACAAACATCTAATAGATATAGTGATATATTGAATGGTTGAATTTACATACCTCAAACATGACCGTACTTTTAGTTTTCCGTCGTTTTGTAACTGTTCTACCGTTTGATGTTTCAACTTCATATTCATGATGAGTCACCTGATACGAGAAAGGTGGTTGAGGAAAATAGATGCAGTGAGTCTTAGATTTTGATTGACACATTGATAGATATTAAACCAATGCATGGGATACGGGAACAAAAACATGTGCCAAATAACAAATAACTGTCCCACCTTCCTACTGTGTTGGGGAAGACTTCCGCCGTTCACTTTTTCAACTTTTTTCAACAAATTTGACACAGGCGTCTGACTTGCTATCTGGTGAGGTGAATCCTATAGACAAACATCATAACGTACCCCAAAATCGATAAGACAACATTGCTTGTGAAGCAAAAGCTAAAGGAAAAGAGAAGGTTCATTTCCTTGCTATTCACCTTTTCTGGTCTCTTGAAAGCATGCTGATTTCTATTTCCACTATCAGACTTTCTCATCTTGGACGAAATTGCGTAGCCCTGAAAATTATGAACTTAACTAAGAAATCTCATATATTGTCACTAATTAATTAGTGAGATGCCTTCACGTTGTTTCTTCTGATAAGAAAGACGTAGATTTGACCCAGTCTAATGTGGTTTGAGCTGAAAGAGTACAAACATATTATGCACACAGAATGATGTGATCATGGGAACGTCTCAAAAGTGCAATGAATTGACGATTGATGAAGAAAGATCGAGCCGAGTTTCAAGCGTAATTGGTATTAATAAAACTGGCCAATTTATTTGTTTGAAGTAAAGAAATATAAATTGTTGAAGTTAACAAACTTGGAATCAGTTTACTTGCAGGGAATGGGAGACAAAAGTTGCTAGACCAGACTTTGTCAACCAATGGAAATGGGCAACCGAAGCAGCTGGATTTGGAGCCAAGAATTCAAGCCTTGCGACAGCAAGGCATAACCCGAGTTGCGGCCGCACACAATGGAGCAGAAATCTGGGCACGGCAGTTTGCATCAACCATGCGACCGCATCACTTTTCACTATGCGGCTGCAACGTTCCTTTGAGGACCGAATTTTGCAAATTTGCGCCAGTTTCCTAATTTAACTAGAATTCTTATCTTTTGCTATCTTTAGGTTATTTGGGACGTATTTTATTCCTTTGAAACTAGGATTTTAATAATTTTATTCCTTTTTAATTATTTTTATGTATTTGGTATAAATAGCAAATTTCTTTCATTGTAACATTAGAACCTTTAATTATGAGTTAAATAGAGATTTCTCTTTCGAGGCTTGAAGCTTTAAAAATCTTTGTTCTTCACGAACAATTTATCGAACTTATCGGGATAACTTATCGTGGCGTTCACCAATCAAAGTGAGATTTGTGGGTTGTGTAATCATAGGATCAAAGTATTCTTGTAATTGCTTTAGTTTCTTGGTTCACTTAATTTTCGGGTCAATCTTTAAAATTTTCAGGTTAGATTCATTAAATTGTGTGATTAAAAGGTCTACATGTCCTATTGACTGTGTGAGTTGTTTAATCCATCGTTTTTGAGTCAAAATCCATAAGCCTTATTGTTTGGAACTTTCTTGGGTCCGATTTCATTCTTCTGTGGGTTCAGTAGTGTTCGTTGCTACGCAAGTTTGCATCACAGAAAAAGAAAAAATCTACAGAATTATGCAATTGAGTTTAGTAAATCAGTTTTCAACAACATTACAGAAACTAACCGTGGTTAATTCATTCGGGGAAATGGTTATAGATTAAACAGATTACCAGGTCTTATTTACACTACAAGTGACCAGAGAAAAGGCCTCATAATCTATTTCTCTTCTTGTACATATATGAGATTGAAATAACATGATATAAAGCTGTTGCATTGAATCAATATAGATACAATAATTATCATAATTAATCAGTTACTGGCAGTGCAGTAGCAGAAGAAAGAGACTTTCTCCTTTGGGGGTGGGGGTGTATTATTTATTCCAACATACCTTTGAATTCACTTCTTGGTCCTCTTGTGGATTGTCACTCATCACGTTCCACTGCATTTGCAGTAAGGTCTTCTGCCTCTCTTCCTGTGATAATCATAGCCACATTAAGGTACCTTTATTAAAACTTCATAATGCAATTAAAAGACGTACCTTTGATTTCTGAATGTCCAACTCCTCCTGCAGCCTTGTGCACTCATCTTCATGCTCACACTTCATAGCTCTTAACTGAGCATCATGCTCAGATCTGAGCATTGTTGTTTTCTACAAAACACAATTTTTATTGCTAAATCAAAGCTAAACAATATGATGAAATATCTAGTTCGTTAATAAGCTCTACACTATTTACACCTCTCTTAATTCATTTTCGGCTTGAAGTTGGAGACATTTTAGCTCTTCGCTGTGCTTGGCTATGAGACTCATTTCTTTTGCATTGTGTTCTTGCTGAATGCGACTAATCTGCACAGAGAAGTTATAAAAGTCAACTCAGCACTACTTTTAACGTATACAACTAGCTGACATTATTACTATTATGGTGGAAGGCAGGCAAAAGTGCAACCAAGGGAAGAACAGGTCACACATTAGATCTCTAAATAAATGGAAAGCAAAAAATTTCGGCATCACATTTTATTTTCATTTATAAATAATTAAGAATTAATAAATACATTGTTTCAAGCTACAAACTCCCAGATCTCCAGATATAGAATATGAATATCTCACATATTCAGATTACAAAGAACTGTAATCAAGAGGAAAGTTTATAATTCTGTGCAGTCATCTCATGTGTGAATAAGCACTAAACCAAACTGTAAAGAAGAATATTCAGTAGCCTCGACAAAAAAATGACAACAGAATAAAAAATATGAAATTATTTAGGTTTAAGATAGCATCTGCCTAAGAGCATACCATAGCAGCATATTCTTCCTGTACTCGCATCAAGTGATTCTGAGATTCTGCAATCCTTTGCTCACACTGCCTTTCCATCTCTCCAATAACTTCATCTGCCTGAAGGATCACATCAGTTAAAACTAATTTGCTTCAAGAGTAAACCTGAAGAGAAATAGGATGATAGAACCTTTTCTTTTTCAAGATTAACACTCTCCAGCTTGTCCACCTCATACTTCCTCCGTATATCATTAATGGCCTATCAGACTCCTTCCAAAGTTAATTGCAGGGATCAAAGGCAAAAAGAGAAACGCTTAATAATCATGAATGTCTTGTGAGGATGATAATGAAGAACACCTGATCATTTTTCTGAGATATTTCTTTCAGATGCCTTGACAGTTCCAACTGTTTATTTTCTAACATCTGATCATGCTGCTTCTTAGCTTCCATAAGCTTGCTTTCAGCATCAGCTAGTGCTGCCTGAATCTGGAACAGATCATTAAATAATTAATGAAACACATCCAAGAGGCTATAATAACATTACTTAAACTATAGCACTAAATTGAAAACCTCTGCTTTATGATCTTCGAACTGTTTTTCTTTCATCTTGAGTTCAGAAATGAGCTGATCCTTCTCATCCAATGCCTTGTCAAATTGATTAACTCTTTTCTGTAGTGAATCTACATTTTCTTCACTTCTCTCTATCTCCTTCTGCAAAAGATAAATTTCATCCTGCTTTTTCAAAATATCTGCTTGTAGCTTTTCTGCAAGATCTTTGTTCTCCATCTCCAACTCAGAAAGTTTCAATAACAATTTTTCCTGCATGGCAGAAGAAAAAACAGCAAGCTAAGGCACATATCACACTGTGGCGGAACCAAATTTAGAAAATGAAATTCACCATTTTATTCTCTGACAATCTTGACTTTTCTGATAAAGTATTAATATTTTCCCTCAACTTGGTTATTAAAGTTTCCATTTCCAGCTGCTTCGAGAGAAGTGTTTCAGCTTCAGACTCTAATTTCAGAATTTTCTCTTCTGTTAAACGGCATTCTTCTGCATGCTGCACCATTGTGAATTCTTGTTCTTTCTGAAGTTCAATGACTTTACCGTCCAATTCCTGATTAACCAGCAGTAACGCATTTTTCTCTGAGGTAACATATAAAGCCTGATTCTGTATTTGATCAAATTTTTGTTTAGCACACTGAGCAGCAAGGTCTTTCTCTTGCTGAACCAGCTTAAAACATGAATCAAATAGAGCATTAAGTTGAATGACTTTTTCCGCAAAGGTCAGACTTTGATTTTCCAAGTCGGTAAACTTTGCGACCAGCACATTAACAAATTCTTCAACATTCTTTATCTCTGCTAGTGCCTTCTCTAATCTGCTAGCAAAATCTTTGTTACTTGATAATAGATCAATTTTTTCCCTCTCCAATTTCTCCTTATTGTTCTTTAAATCTCGTAGGTCATCTTCTTTTGTTCTCAGTTCAAGATGCAAAGCGTCCATCTTAGTAGTCAAACCCTCCAGAGCCATTTTATTAGTTGATACAGCTTCTTCCAAATTTTTTATCATAGCATCTGTTCATGGAAAAATTAATAAATAGAAGGACTATCATTTGAAACTGAAGTTATTTATGAATACATGAACAAAAAGAAGTAAATCCTGATACCAACTTTCCATTACTGAGAGTGCTATGGAATTGCACAAGCATCAAGGACATTAAATCACCTTAGAAGATATTTGAAACTTCAGTATGTTCATTTTATTCCTAGACCACCAAATTGCTGCCAATTTCAACTATAGAGATCTAACGTTTATGTAGAGGAAAAAGGTCAAAAACCTTGTCCACTTCAGATAATAATGCATATCCAACTTTAAGCTGTATTTCCAAATATCAATTACTGTACCAATGTAGTTATCCATGTCAATAATAAAAATTCCAGAAATAAATTGAAAACTTAGAATGCACCTAATAACTTTCATTTTGTTCAGGGAAATCACCCATAAAAAAAGATTAGTGACATGTCATCTGGATATAAATCTAAATGTCAAACAGGAACTGGATAGTATTCTCACAACTCAGTAGTGAATTCAGCAAAATCAAGTAGAAAAAGGAATGATCATTGTGAGTACAGTGAGTAGATATGAGATAATACAGAAAGCATTAACTCTTTCCAGCAACTCTATGATGAGTTTCAGATCTGATCCAACAACACAAGGAGATTTTATCCAGTTTTATTGACATAGACACTCCCAGACAAGAATTTTTATCTGAACAAAATTAATTATGCTAATAGGATGAAGAAAGCAATTATTATGCCATGATGCTACTATGTTGAGAAGAGAACTTTCTCCGCATCAATTGATAAAAAAATCTAGAGTGAATAGGGCAACAGATGAGGGTCTGGAGAGTAGAGACCAAACAGTTATATGCATTAAGAAACTAGCTGGAACTTGAATGAACTTGATTGCAGCAGTAGAATCAGATGTAATGACATGAATTGAAATTGATTTCTATAGCATTATTTTGATGGAAACAAAGAGTAGGATGACCTTCATGTTGTCAATGATAATAGCGATAGCTAGACAAATGTGAATATATTACACGGAGATAACTCAAAATCAAAGTCATCACCAGGAATTTATAATTGCTTGGTTAAGAGGCTATAATTGAGTTTATAGTTCACGTATAGAGCTCTTTCAATTCACCCAAATGCGAACTTCTTGGTAGTGTCTAAAAGATCTTGCTATAGTGTATCACCTTTCCCCTCAATAAGAATGGCAACTCTGCTCTTTTCATCCCTGAACGAGTTCTCCATTTTTTCCTTCACGAGCCCAAGTTCCATAAGCTCATTCTCACCTTGAATAAGAATCACAAACCATGTCATAAAAACAAGAGTAAAGGAAGAAAAATTTCTAGTTATTAGACAAAATCTGATCAAGCTCTCAGTAGAACAAAAAAAAAAAATATTGACGAAATAAGGCACAGAAATCACTCACGGCTTTTAACTGTGTTTTCTGAAGAGTTCAGTCTCAAAGACAGAGAGTTCATCTGCTCGTGCAAATTATCAAGAGCAACTGATGTTGTGGAGAATTTACCTTCAAAAAGTGCCTTATCCTTTTCAGCAAGAAAAATTTCTAGTTATTAGACAAAATCTGATCAAGCTCTCAGTAGAACAAAAAAAAAAATATTGACGAAATAAGGCACAGAAATCACTCACGGCTTTTAACTGTGTTTTCTGAAGAGTTCAGTCTCAAAGACAGAGAGTTCATCTGCTCGTGCAAATTATCAAGAGCAACTGATGTTGTGGAGAATTTACCTTCAAAAAGTGCCTTATCCTTTTCAGCTGAAATTTGGAACTATACTCAGTATAACTTCAGGCGTGAAAGTGACAAATGATTACTATGAAGAATACATACCATCCCGAACCTGAACAGCCAATTGCTGCAATGTTTCTGTAAGTTGATCGCACAAGGTCTTTGTTGAAGAGAATTTTGATTCAAGCCCTTTCCAGAGCTTCTCGTCTTCTTTCTGCTTCACTTTTAGCTTAGCATTGTCATTGCACGCAATTTGCAATTTCTCCTCCAGCACCCTAATGTGGTCTGTCAGCTTCTTCAGCTTAGAGTTCTGAATTTAGATGATCACATTACAGTCCAATACTTTCCGAGAAAAAAATGCTATTATGCCCTGATATCAGGACGAAATTCTGACTATGCACTGTACACGGAATAAGATGCCTATCAATTCATATACACATACAATACCATGTCCACACACAACATATAAAAACATATTAATACTTGAGTGCATATGCACACGGATGTAACATGGGAAAGATATAGTGAGAGAGAAGAGAATGAAATTATCCTTTTTACCGCGAGTTCAAGGTCAGTTTTTGCAGAAGCTTGCTCTTTGACCAATTTCTCTGGAGAAAAAAAGTAAATCAAGAGACCGGAATCATCTAGAAAAACTTTCACAAAGAGTCGACTTAGATAAACAAAAAATTTCGTAAACAGTAGACTAGCCTGCAGTGAGCTTCAGATTCGCAAAACTTCCCGCAGAAACTGAGCCGGAAGACGCTCGAGAAGAAATCGATAGTGTCTTCGCAGATCCTGGCAAAGATTTGAACTGTTCCAGGCTCCTTATTCCTGACAATCCTTGTAGCCTACTCATATTTAAATCGCGAAGAAATTAAGCGCCAAGGTCCTATGATTTCTACGTCATTTTCAATTTCGAATTTTGTACTGCGAAAATGCAACAAATCAATTCCTAGAAATCCAATCCAAAGGTCTCTCAATCCTTTAATTTTGAAATTTATTAAAAAAAAAAAATCCAGAATGTTGATCGCGAGCTTCAGATTGAAGCTTTGGAGATTCGAGAGATTGAAACTAAGAGCTAAAAATCAGTGTAAGATTTCGTTGCGAATAGATTCGTCAAATTAAGTGTTACAATGCAAATTGATTAATCGAAAAAAGCGAAACCCTAGAAATTCGACAGCGAAAACTGAACTTTCGAGAAATCTTTTCAGAGAGGTTGAGAGAGAGATTTGAAATCAACAAAGCGCCAAATGACGGGGATATTTATAGTAGCCTGGACCTGGTTAAATTTTTCCCACGCTTGGAACTTTATTTACTGAATTAAATAAAAATCATGCTACCATAGTCCGATTTGATTTTGCTAAAAAGTATATATTTTATAATTTTAAAAGAATATTTGATTAAAAAATTAATAAAAATTGTGAATTTTATTAAATATATGGTTAAAATTAATTTTTGATTTTGATTTATATTTTGATTAATTTGTTTTGCTAAACCAAATATTATAGACTACTGAAATCTTGGAAACACTTAAACTTTTAAAACCCTGTTTGAGTCCCATTTTTGGGTCAAAATGCATTTTGAAATAGTGTTTTATTGAAGAATGCGTGGTTAAAAAATATAGAAAATTTTGAGTTTACGTATAAAATCATTTTAAAAGAGAATGTGTTGTTGAAAATTAATTTTGAAAAATGAGTTTTAATAAAATGAGAGAGCCAAACATAAGCTAAGTCTATATATTAAAAAATTTAACAAATTCTTCCTAAAAATAACATAGAAGGATCATTAAATCCACAACTATACGTCTACGTAACTTAAGTGTTGTCTTAAAATGCGTTGCTTTCTCTTTAACTGTACCTTTTAACATTGACTTTTCGACAACTGAATTTTCATGAACATAATTTAGACGAGCTACATAAGTAGATAGAAACCTCCATATCCTAGATTTGATTGAATATATGACATGAAACATAAATGTATAGGGTAGAGTTTGTTCTTACGGGAAAATAATAATAATAAGTGAGATAGATAGTATTTAAATAGAGTTAAAAACTGATAAATCATCTCTATTTTTTGTTGTGATAGAAAAGAGATTATGATAGAGGGACACGAGTCATGGTCCGGATGAGGTAATGTCACGATGAGGAGGAGACGTAACAATGTGATTGAAGTGTGTGTAAATGATTGTTTTCATTAGATTTTAATTGATCATCTATAAAAACTAGAAGACATACACCAAGTTGAATAAAGTTGGAAACTTGTTATTTCAACTTTACGGCGTCTAGATTCAATATAATACTTATAATAATTAGGGGTGGCTTGGACCAACCCAAATACCTTGGTTGGAGGGGGAATTTCACTTTCAAAGAAAAAAATCTCATTGAACTCAACAATTCGAACCAACATGAACCTATTTAGGTCAATTTGTAATGGACAAGTTTTTCGACATGATGTGGTAGGAGAGACTAAGAAAGAGACGAGTTTGGGAGAATGTTGTTTTAGGTGTTTTTAAATATTTACTAGTCTTTGCTCGTGCAATGCATGCACGGGTTGGATTATTTTCAACGTAACGTTAGTGTGTTAAATATGTGGGTTATAGTATGTCGCCTTCATTATTTGCATTGATGGCTGATAGAATCATTTATCATACTCTATTGACATATACAGATTGCATTATAATTAGAATTGATAGTATGTAATTGTCTAGATATTTATAAATCAAATGTATAAACATCAAACCATGAGCATTTATAGTATGGAATTCAATTCTTTCTTCCACGTCGACTTTTTCTCTAGACACAAAGGCTCCAGTTTCAAATGCTAGCCGAACATCCAAGCTACATGACAAAATGTATTTTAAAAAAGTATGAAGGACTCCTTTAAAATGTTAGTTGGGCTACAATATTTGAAATAGTAGTATAAATATTAGTCATGGCATTTGAAATAGTCACAAAGGTTTGCTATATGGCGTTCAAAATAGTCATTGCGGCGCGAGAAATGAAGAAAAATTCACGGACCAAGTCAAGATATTTAGCAAACATCAAACATGATGTCTCTACTCACGAGATATTAAGACTAATAACCCAACAGATTTTTAACGATCCTCTTAACTATAGATGTTAAATTTCAAGGTTTTACTTAGTCAATTCACCAAATAGAAAATGATTAAATATCATTTGGTACACAAACAAAGTTCAATTTATAAGTTACCTTAGAAACTTCCAACAAAGGTTTAATTACATGGTGAAAGAGCAAGACAGAGGTAAAATGTTGCATTCTTTTGGTCATGCTTTATAAGACACCGATATGGACACTCTCGATGCCCTGGCTGCAAAATAAAAGAAAGTTAGAGCATCAGCCAGCATAATTTCTAAAGTTCTTAGTTAAGCATAGATAAGATTTAAAGATATCAAGCATTTTTAAACAATAATGAAACACACTGAATGCAAAAAATATAGAAAGCTAAAAAACAATCAATAACCACCGAATCTTTTTTTGCCCAAATCGCATATTTAATGCTTTCAGTTAATCAACTACTGCAGAACACTCCAACAATTTTTGCTACTGAATATTTCCAAATGAATGTTATTGGATGTACAAACATATGCAACATTTTATTCCAAGAAACTTAGCCTAAGTCTATTGAAATCACACAAGGTAGAATCATCAATTAAATAAAATGGACTAAAATCGGATCAATAGAAAATCACTAATGAATTACAGCTATTTCTCAAAAGCCATGGCAACATGACAATTTTCATTCATAAACAACTATTTCAAATTTGAAAAGATCATTTTTATTCCAATTCGGACACCATAAGTCTACATAGTTATTAAATGAACAACAATTCCAAAACCAAACTTAGATCACTAATATCAAAATCCACCAAATTCCAAAATCACTAACTTGAAACATAAGTGCTTCAAAATAGACCATAAACACAAAGATTCAACTTTTTTAAGGAAAGAATGGAAAGTGATTTTGGCAGCCCGTGGATTAATTGACACCTCGGACCACGTATTTTGTAATCGTCCTCCACTTCTTGCAAACGCGCCNAGTGTGAGAAAGAGTACTGTGTGTTAGATTCAAAACATGTTAGCTGCGGGTAAAATAGAAAACGACGTCATTTCTGCTCCACCAATTAAAAAAAAACTACAGTGTTACAAAATATTACTGCTAAAAAAATTATATGATATGATTGATAATTGATAGCGTGAGAAAATAGAAAAGGAGTATTGTGTGTCAGATTTAAAGGACCAAACCAGTCTCAAACTCGTTCAATGTGAAAACCTATGTGACAAAAATAAACAGTAAGATAATGAGGGATAATATAATAAAAAAATGAAACTATTTTGACCAAACCCATTTCAAACCAGTTGAATGTGAAAATGCATGAAACAAAAATGAATCGTCCAACTTTGAATCTGACACACAATACTCTTTCTTTATTTTCTCACGCTATGAACTATCAACCATATCCTATAATTTTATCAATAGTAATATTTTTTAAAATAATATTTTGTCACACTGTATTTTTTTTTAATTGATAAAGTAGAAATGACATCGTTTTTTATTTTACCTGTAACTTAGATGCTTTGAATCTGACACAGAGCACTCTTTCTCCATTTTCTCATGCTATCAATTATCGATCATATCCTATAATTTTATTAGTGATAATATTTGTTTAAATAAATCTTTACATAAAAATTATTCTTTGTTTCTAAAATGTAAAAACTATTTATAATTAAAAAGATCACTTCAAATTATTTAAAAGTAAAACAAATTTATAATTGTAAAAACTACTTATAAGTAAAAAAATATTAAATTAAATCTTTCTAGGTATAAATATTTATATAAATTTAGTTTTTTAAATTAAATATTAATAAAAATATTGCACTATCTAGAATGTAAAAATTACTTATAAGTAAAAAAAGCACTTCAAGTTATTTAAACGTAATAAAAAAATTTATAATTGTAAAAGTTACTTATAGGTAAAAAAATATTAATCCCTCATTTTCTTATATTTGCAAAAGTTTCTTATAAGTAAAAAAATATTAATTTAAAATTTTTTGAGTATAAATATTTGGATATATTTACTTTTTTAAATTAAATATTAATAAAAAGATTACACTATTTAAAATGTAAAAAGTTACTTATAAGTAAAAAAATCACTTCAAAATATTTAAAAGTAATACAGAAACTTATAATTGTAAAAGCCACGTATTGATAAAAAAAATATTAACTTCAACATTATTAAGTAAATATTTAGATATATTTAATTTTTTTTAAATTACTAATATATATATATATATATATATATGCATTTTTCACTCCATGCAAATGCATAGAGTGATGACCACTCCGTCACTACATGCAGGGAGTTAACCTTTTTTTTTTTAATAATTATAATAATTTTTTATTAATATTAAAAAAATCTAATATATCTAAATATTTACTTAATAATGTTGAAGTTAATATTTTTTTTATCTATAAGTAGCTTTTATAATTATAAGTTTTTGTTATTACTTTTAAATAACTTAAAGTGATTTTTTTATCTATCTGTAACTTTTTACATTCTAGAGAGTGCAATCTTTATATTATTATTTAATTTAAAAGACTAAATATATCTAAATATTTATACTTAAAAAATTTGAAATTAATATTTTTTTTACTTATAAGTAACTTTTACAATTATAAGTTTGCTTTACTTTTAAATAATTTAAAGTGATATTTTTAGTTATAAGTAACTTTTTACATTTTAGAAATAAAGAATAACTTTTATTTAAAAAAATGTTATCACTAATAAAATGAATAATAAACCTCATATTTTTTATTTTAAGATATGGAGAGATTTTTTTTAAATTAAATATTTATTAATAAAAAATTACTATAAATAAAATTAAAAAAAATTTATCACCACTCCCTGCACAGAGTGGATTCACTCCATGCATGGAGTGTTATCACTTTGTGTAAAAGGAGAGTTCTCTCATTTTGAAAAGTCAAAAGGAGAAAACTCTCATTTTGAAAGCAGAGATTCTCTCCGTACACGAAGAGATTTTTTTTTTTATTTTTTAAATTTAATTTTTTAAATTTTAATAAATTAAATAATATTTATATAGTATTTATTTAATTTTTGTAACTTTTATTTTATTTTATTTTATTTGCTTATTTTGATTTAATAAAATAATTTTTATACATTACTTATAATATAAAGACATTCGTTAAATTTGAATTAAATAATATTTATGTTTTCTTTAAATCATTTTAATTTAATTTAAAAACTTTGTAATAATTTTTTTTATTTTTATCTACAATTTTTTTAAATAATCTTTATATTTAATTTCGTTTCTTTATTATATAATTTATGGTATTACCTTTAATCAAGTGAAGTAGTGTATGAAAATTGAGAAATATTATAGTGGAGGTGACATCACAGTAAAACGGCGTGTGAAAATGGTGAAATGACGTGCGAAAATAATTCTACAGCGTCATTGAATAGAATAATTTACTGTTGTCAAACCGATTTCAGACAAATTTCGTGTGAAAACCTATGTGATAAAAATAAACAGTAAAACTCACATTCTCTCTTTTAAAATAAGGAGGGATTATAGATAGCTTATATGTTAATTGCTATTTAGCAACAAAATTTTTAATTCAAATATCTAGTATAGGTAGCTTATGTTTCACTAGAATATTTGCCAACATAATTTTTAATTCATATGAAAATTTTTGTTTTTTGTTGGAATTTGAAATTCTTTATCTAAATTTTAGCAACATGAGATTTTTACAAACGACAATACGAAAGTAGACATTTTTCTTTTTGCAATTTCCTCTTTCTAATTTACAAAAAATGAGTAAAATAAAATAAGAATAAAACAAAACGGATATCGTAAAAAATCCGAGAATCACCCAACTCCACGAGGGAATACATACTGATTGCAGAATTACCATGTTTTGGCGATGGAAGCAAAGCTAGAGCTTTGCCATTTTCCCTCTTTCCAATTTCTTCATTATCCACAAAAACTTCAAGTTAAATACCTAAGAATATCAATTCCTTTTCAGTCAATACTCCTCTGAACAACTCGAAACGCAATGCCAGGACTGAATATCCGGTTTAAGGATGAAGATTCGACATCATACCAACAAACCCATGTTCCATTTTTACCAGAGAACTCAAATAATTCAATTTTATGTTCCGGTGGATTATTCCTTGTCGATAATAAGATCCCTTCATCAATTATTAATGCTATTTTCGGTGACAATTATGTTCCCATTAAACATTCGACTGAATTGCATTCTCGTAGGAGGCCGGTTGTTGGGTTTGAATTCTTGTGTTTGAGCTTATCGATTAAAGGGAAAGATATAGTTATTAGGAATTCGAGTGAGAGTTTGGAGCAGAAGAGTATTAAGGAGGCTCGGGCGGCTGTTGGCGAAGGAAGTACGGCAGTGAAGGCTGGAAAAGTATCGAAGGTTAGCTTGCGCGGCCGCGGGGCGGTGAACACTACCAAACATTTGTGGGCTGGAGCTGTGGCTGCCATGGTTTCAAGGTCTGTAATTATTATTATTTTTATTTATTTATTTATTTTTTTCATCTGGTTAAGTACCCACTTACTCAATTTCATTAAATGTTCGAGACTTGAACCCCAATATATATGTTTGCCCTAATACCATGTTGAATCACGTGATCTAAATTGTTAAGTCCTCAGAGAGGAACACACATATGTTATTTATATCTTGTCTTAACCCATATGGGCTAAATAGGATTCTACTTTACAGATAAAAACAATTTCATGACAATCAGACAATGTTGCAACTGACTTTCCTATGTCTTGTGGTAGAATTTCTCATCTAGTTTGGTTGAGTATGTTTGTAGTCATATGGTTCTTTTTGCTTGTTGTTGTAACCTGTTTTTCTCTGTATCAATATTCTGATGAGATAAATCTGAAATTTATTACTTATGATTATTTTAGAGGCATGTTTTGAGTTATCAGAATCATTTGGGAAATACCTTAGTTGTCGCTTGAAGTTATTAGAATTACAATAATATGCATTTATCCAGATTGTGATGATCTGTACTGCAATTCAAGGATCTCTTTTGTTTGCTCTCTGTTGATCTCACTTTCTTGCAAACTACCATCTTGTTGTTGGGTCTGTTTTTTAGTTGACACCGAGAACCTACACTCAGCATTTAAATGATGTACCTATTATTATTATTATTTTTTTTTTTTAAATTTATTTTCACTAGTACTTCATCTGTGTAAATAGTTTTCTTTGATCAGAACTTGCGTCGCTCCACTTGAGAGATTAAAGCTGGAATATATAGTCCGTGGTGAAAAGAGGAATATATTTGAGCTCATCAAGAAAATAGCAGTAACACAAGGCCTGAAAGGTTTTTGGAAGGGAAATTTTGTTAACATTCTGCGCACAGCACCTTTTAAAGCAATCAATTTTTATTCTTACGATACATATAGAAAGCAGCTTCTCAAATTATCTGGGAATGAAGAAACCACGAATTTTGAGAGGTTTATTGCTGGTGCTGCAGCTGGCATGACAGCTTCAGTACTCTGCTTGCCACTAGACACTGTGAGTGATAGTTCTTACATTTTTTATCGATTCTTTTAGTATTTTTTGTCCATATCTTTAGCATTTTTTTTTGGTTCTTGTAAATGAAACAATTTTGTTCTGGAGATGAAACTATAAATTGAACTGAAGTTCCAGGATTGTAGTGATGTTGAAAATAAGGTCAATGTCTATGCATGTAATACTGTTTTCTGTTACAAAGTACAAGCACATTGGTTTGAAGCTTTAAGTATTGGACCTTTGATCATTTTGGTTGCTGGAAAGGAAATGGATTTTTGTCATTTAGAAGGAAGGAAACAGAAATGAGATGAAAAGTAATTTTCCTTAATTTGTTTACAATAAAATTGGCAAATTCTTGACCACTTCTTAATGTGAAAATGCCAAAAAATATATTTCTGTGACTTGAATAGAGAATTTTTGAATGTTTTAGGTTCGGACGAGGTTGGTGGCGCCTGGTGGAGAAGCACTTGGTGGTGTAATTGGAGCTTTTCGTCATGTGATTCAAACTGAAGGGTTCTTTTCTCTTTACAAGGGTTTACTCCCGTCTATCTTGAGTATGGCACCCTCAGGAGCTGTTTTCTATGGGGTATATGACATTTTGAAATCGGCTTATTTGCATTCACCTGAAGGAAGAAAAAGAATTCAGAACATGAGACAACACGATCAAGAATTGAATGCTTTAGAACAACTCGAGTTGGGACCAATGAGGACTTTCCTGTATGGAGCTATTTCCGGTGCTTGTGCTGAAGCTGCTACCTATCCATTTGAGGTTGTGAGGAGGCAGCTCCAACTGCAAGGCCGAGCTACTAAAATGAGTGCATTGGCAACAGCCGTCAGAATCGTTGAACGAGGAGGTCTGCCTGCTCTTTATGCAGGTCTTTTTCCCAGTTTACTACAGGTATGGTGTATATTATGTGCGTGTTTTGTAAGGAGGAGAGAGTATTAAGGAATGAAAAGGAGTTAAAATCTTGTTCATTATACTATCAAAGTCCTGTGTGCCAAACATGCACTATATGAAGTCTTCCTCTGGCTTCTGATTATTATTTTTGCAAGGGCATTCACCCTTTCTGAAACTTAAAGATTGGAATATTTAAGCTTGCAACTCTTTAATGTCTCCTACATGGCCAGTTTCAAGCACGTACATTTTTATATGGCTAGATTCCTTTGCACACCTCTACATGTTTTAGTGGAGTAGCATCCCTCTTGTGAGTAGAATCTTCTTTTGATCCATACAAGGGATACACCAACCAACCAAGTTGTCCTGCATTTAATTTATCTCAAATCCACATCAGCTCTGCTTGGCCTATATTCTTATTTAAAATGCATTAAACACTTATTCTTTGTGAAGGCATGATTCTCTATAGAGGCTCATCTGTTATCCTTATTCCTACTATGGCAAAAAGGACATTCCATGTGCTGCCGTAGTTGTACTTAACCTACAATTTTACGATTTATTTCCTTCTCAGTCTCATCAGCTTGAACTATATAATCAACGAATAACATGCATCGAGGAACCTTATATTGGGTATGGCTCGTTAGCTCATATGCTATTAAAATTAAGGCAGAACCTTGATGCAAACCTATACTGATGAGAAATTCTCTACTATTACTCCCGCTATCTCACTTGTGACTCCTCCATCGGGGACATCCTTTATGTATTGATTAATATGGAATCAACTATTTATGAGTCTCACATATGACATTTTCATCTGTCCTCAGGCATCTGAAGATCATTTTACCATCATCTTGTATGTTTGGCATTACATTTTCTCATATGGTGCACTTCATCTCATTCCTTGATTGTTATTCTTCAGGTGTTGCCTTCAGCGTCAATAAGCTACTTTGTTTACGAGTTCATGAAGATTGTTCTTAAGGTGGCGTGAATCACGGGAAGTTCAAGTTTATAGTTAAGTAGAGGAAATTCTCAAGAAACAGCAGAGCAATTGGATTCATTCACATGTAGCAGTTAATATACTCTACAGTCTCAGCATCCTTAACTATTCTCACCTGCATTTGTTATACAACTTTTCTGAAACTTGGATCATTTTCTACCATAAAATGGAATCTTGATTTTGCATTTTTTTTTTCATTGCGAAATAAATCCTGTACCAATGGATTATATGTTCGAGTAAATGCAGTAGACACCATATTTTACTATTGGACAGCAGTCTCCTTCAATTATCAATCAATATGGTTGAGAGTCAAATTCTCCATTCAAGAAGACAAAAAATCTTTGTGAGAAAATGATTTTTTTAGATAAGTATGATTAAAAATTAAAGAAAAATTGTAGGTTAATATGTAAAATTATTTTATTGGGAGAATATGTATTTAAAAATGAGTTTATTTAAACTTCATATTTTTTATTTTAAGATATGGAGAGATTTTTTTTAAATTAAATATTTATTAATAAAAAATTACTATAAATAAAATTTAAAAAAATTTATCACCACTCCCTGCACAGAGTGGATTCACTCCATGCATGGAGTGTTATCACTTTGTGTAAAAGGAGAGTTCTCTCATTTTGAAAAGTCAAAAGGAGAAAACTCTCATTTTGAAAGCAGAGATTCTCTCCGTACACGAAGAGATTTTTTTTTTTATTTTTTAAATTTAATTTTTTAAATTTTAATAAATTAAATAATATTTATATAGTATTTATTTAATTTTTGTAACTTTTATTTTATTTTATTTTATTTGCTTATTTTGATTTAATAAAATAATTTTTATACATTACTTATAATATAAAGACATTCGTTAAATTTGAATTAAATAATATTTATGTTTTCTTTAAATCATTTTAATTTAATTTAAAAACTTTGTAATAATTTTTTTTATTTTTATCTACAATTTTTTTAAATAATCTTTATATTTAATTTCGTTTCTTTATTATATAATTTATGGTATTACCTTTAATCAAGTGAAGTAGTGTATGAAAATTGAGAAATATTATAGTGGAGGTGACAGTAAAACGGCGTGTGAAAATGGTGAAATGACGTGCGAAAATAATTCTACAGCGTCATTGAATAGAATAATTTACTGTTGTCAAACCGATTTCAGACAAATTTCGTGTGAAAACCTATGTGATAAAAATAAACAGTAAAACTCACATTCTCTCTTTTAAAATAAGGAGGGATTATAGATAGCTTATATGTTAATTGCTATTTAGCAACAAAATTTTTAATTCAAATATCTAGTATAGGTAGCTTATGTTTCACTAGAATATTTGCCAACATAATTTTTAATTCATATGAAATTTTTTGTTTTTTGTTGGAATTTGAAATTCTTTATCTAAATTTTAGCAACATGAGATTTTTACAAACGACAATACGAAAGTAGACATTTTTCTTTTTGCAATTTCCTCTTTCTAATTTACAAAAAATGAGTAAAAAAAAATAAGAATAAAACAAAACGGATATCGTAAAAAATCCGAGAATCACCCAACTCCACGAGGGAATACATACTGATTGCAGAATTACCATGTTTTGGCGATGGAAGCAAAGCTAGAGCTTTGCCATTTTCCCTCTTTCCAATTTCTTCATTATCCACAAAAACTTCAAGTTAAATACCTAAGAATATCAATTCCTTTTCAGTCAATACTCCTCTGAACAACTCGAAACGCAATGCCAGGACTGAATATCCGGTTTAAGGATGAAGATTCGACATCATACCAACAAACCCATGTTCCATTTTTACCAGAGAACTCAAATAATTCAATTTTATGTTCCGGTGGATTATTCCTTGTCGATAATAAGATCCCTTCATCAATTATTAATGCTATTTTCGGTGACAATTATGTTCCCATTAAACATTCGACTGAATTGCATTCTCGTAGGAGGCCGGTTGTTGGGTTTGAATTCTTGTGTTTGAGCTTATCGATTAAAGGGAAAGATATAGTTATTAGGAATTCGAGTGAGAGTTTGGAGCAGAAGAGTATTAAGGAGGCTCGGGCGGCTGTTGGCGAAGGAAGTACGGCAGTGAAGGCTGGAAAAGTATCGAAGGTTAGCTTGCGCGGCCGCGGGGCGGTGAACACTACCAAACATTTGTGGGCTGGAGCTGTGGCTGCCATGGTTTCAAGGTCTGTAATTATTATTATTTTTATTTATTTATTTATTTTTTTCATCTGGTTAAGTACCCACTTACTCAATTTCATTAAATGTTCGAGACTTGAACCCCAATATATATGTTTGCCCTAATACCATGTTGAATCACGTGATCTAAATTGTTAAGTCCTCAGAGAGGAACACACATATGTTATTTATATCTTGTCTTAACCCATATGGGCTAAATAGGATTCTACTTTACAGATAAAAACAATTTCATGACAATCAGACAATGTTGCAACTGACTTTCCTATGTCTTGTGGTAGAATTTCTCATCTAGTTTGGTTGAGTATGTTTGTAGTCATATGGTTCTTTTTGCTTGTTGTTGTAACCTGTTTTTCTCTGTATCAATATTCTGATGAGATAAATCTGAAATTTATTACTTATGATTATTTTAGAGGCATGTTTTGAGTTATCAGAATCATTTGGGAAATACCTTAGTTGTCGCTTGAAGTTATTAGAATTACAATAATATGCATTTATCCAGATTGTGATGATCTGTACTGCAATTCAAGGATCTCTTTTGTTTGCTCTCTGTTGATCTCACTTTCTTGCAAACTACCATCTTGTTGTTGGGTCTGTTTTTTAGTTGACACCGAGAACCTACACTCAGCATTTAAATGATGTACCTATTATTATTATTATTTTTTTTTTTTAAATTTATTTTCACTAGTACTTCATCTGTGTAAATAGTTTTCTTTGATCAGAACTTGCGTCGCTCCACTTGAGAGATTAAAGCTGGAATATATAGTCCGTGGTGAAAAGAGGAATATATTTGAGCTCATCAAGAAAATAGCAGTAACACAAGGCCTGAAAGGTTTTTGGAAGGGAAATTTTGTTAACATTCTGCGCACAGCACCTTTTAAAGCAATCAATTTTTATTCTTACGATACATATAGAAAGCAGCTTCTCAAATTATCTGGGAATGAAGAAACCACGAATTTTGAGAGGTTTATTGCTGGTGCTGCAGCTGGCATGACAGCTTCAGTACTCTGCTTGCCACTAGACACTGTGAGTGATAGTTCTTACATTTTTTATCGATTCTTTTAGTATTTTTTGTCCATATCTTTAGCATTTTTTTTTGGTTCTTGTAAATGAAACAATTTTGTTCTGGAGATGAAACTATAAATTGAACTGAAGTTCCAGGATTGTAGTGATGTTGAAAATAAGGTCAATGTCTATGCATGTAATACTGTTTTCTGTTACAAAGTACAAGCACATTGGTTTGAAGCTTTAAGTATTGGACCTTTGATCATTTTGGTTGCTGGAAAGGAAATGGATTTTTGTCATTTAGAAGGAAGGAAACAGAAATGAGATGAAAAGTAATTTTCCTTAATTTGTTTACAATAAAATTGGCAAATTCTTGACCACTTCTTAATGTGAAAATGCCAAAAAATATATTTCTGTGACTTGAATAGAGAATTTTTGAATGTTTTAGGTTCGGACGAGGTTGGTGGCGCCTGGTGGAGAAGCACTTGGTGGTGTAATTGGAGCTTTTCGTCATGTGATTCAAACTGAAGGGTTCTTTTCTCTTTACAAGGGTTTACTCCCGTCTATCTTGAGTATGGCACCCTCAGGAGCTGTTTTCTATGGGGTATATGACATTTTGAAATCGGCTTATTTGCATTCACCTGAAGGAAGAAAAAGAATTCAGAACATGAGACAACACGATCAAGAATTGAATGCTTTAGAACAACTCGAGTTGGGACCAATGAGGACTTTCCTGTATGGAGCTATTTCCGGTGCTTGTGCTGAAGCTGCTACCTATCCATTTGAGGTTGTGAGGAGGCAGCTCCAACTGCAAGGCCGAGCTACTAAAATGAGTGCATTGGCAACAGCCGTCAGAATCGTTGAACGAGGAGGTCTGCCTGCTCTTTATGCAGGTCTTTTTCCCAGTTTACTACAGGTATGGTGTATATTATGTGCGTGTTTTGTAAGGAGGAGAGAGTATTAAGGAATGAAAAGGAGTTAAAATCTTGTTCATTATACTATCAAAGTCCTGTGTGCCAAACATGCACTATATGAAGTCTTCCTCTGGCTTCTGATTATTATTTTTGCAAGGGCATTCACCCTTTCTGAAACTTAAAGATTGGAATATTTAAGCTTGCAACTCTTTAATGTCTCCTACATGGCCAGTTTCAAGCACGTACATTTTTATATGGCTAGATTCCTTTGCACACCTCTACATGTTTTAGTGGAGTAGCATCCCTCTTGTGAGTAGAATCTTCTTTTGATCTATACAAGGGATACACCAACCAACCAAGTTGTCCTGCATTTAATTTATCTCAAATCCACATCAGCTCTGCTTGGCCTATATTCTTATTTAAAATGCATTAAACACTTATTCTTTGTGAAGGCATGATTCTCTATAGAGGCTCATCTGTTATCCTTATTCCTACTATGGCAAAAAGGACATTCCATGTGCTGCCGTAGTTGTACTTAACCTACAATTTTACGATTTATTTCCTTCTCAGTCTCATCAGCTTGAACTATATAATCAACGAATAACATGCATCGAGGAACCTTATATTGGGTATGGCTCGTTAGCTCATATGCTATTAAAATTAAGGCAGAACCTTGATGCAAACCTATACTGATGAGAAATTCTCTACTATTACTCCCGCTATCTCACTTGTGACTCCTCCATCGGGGACATCCTTTATGTATTGATTAATATGGAATCAACTATTTATGAGTCTCACATATGACATTTTCATCTGTCCTCAGGCATCTGAAGATCATTTTACCATCATCTTGTATGTTTGGCATTACATTTTCTCATATGGTGCACTTCATCTCATTCCTTGATTGTTATTCTTCAGGTGTTGCCTTCAGCGTCAATAAGCTACTTTGTTTACGAGTTCATGAAGATTGTTCTTAAGGTGGCGTGAATCATGGGAAGTTCAAGTTTATAGTTAAGTAGAGGAAATTCTCAAGAAACAGCAGAGCAATTGGATTCATTCACATGTAGCAGTTAATATACTCTACAGTCTCAGCATCCTTAACTATTCTCACCTGCATTTGTTATACAACTTTTCTGAAACTTGGATCATTTTC